CATAACCTATATTAGACATGTTGCTATAAAAATCATGTTAAAAAATATATATAGTTGTTCCTTGAACAACTGAGAGTAACTGAGATCAAAGCTTCAACTTCAGTTGAAGTGATCTGATACTGGTCATTTGTTTCAGAATTCATTTCTTTAAACCATTTAAACAGCTCAGTCGGAGAGTGTGAATCTGCAAATATACACTGTGTTGTACTGTCTGTGTTTGCACCAGACAGACAAAGTCACTGCTTGTTAGTGCTGAGATGTCAGTGACAGTTGATGCGGAGTTTTAATCTAACCCAGATTATCTGTAGTTACAGCGTGAGAGTAACATCATTATCACGGTGTCTCTCGCTGCGGTGTAACATGGTGGTTTTTCTACAACTTGGGAGATTGAGCCTCTTTCACAAGCTGTGACCACTTGAGAGGAATATTAGATGTGGTGGATGCTCATGTGGTCTGTTAGAGGAAAAAAAAAAAAGAGGTCCCCTTTGATCATACAGACATCATGTGATCTTCGACAGATTAACAGCACATGTAGAGTGCTGGAGTCAGTCCAACGTGCACTAACACAAATGTGACGTCAGTTCAGTTCGATAAAGAGCTTGGTGACATGATGAAAGTGTAACTGCGTACACTGTAGTGAGGTGCCACTGCGTGAAGAATATTAGAAACACAGCTGTGGTTTGTCTACTTTCAAAATAAGATGCCTTTTTCAAAATAAGAAGTGATCATGGCTGCACACAACTTCCTGTTGCAAGTGACAGTTCTGAGATTTGTGAACTCTGACATCACACCTGACAGCGTTTTTTCATTATCTTAATGTTATATGCACCGCACATAATAATCAGTTAACCCCACCTACAAATGTTACGCTATCATTTACCAACACATTCAATGTGGATTGATGAAGCTTCTCATGCCCATTTGAGGGTTAGCGTTGGATTTTAAGAGGACAATATTTGTGTCAAACACTTTTAGTGTTAACAGGTCTGAGAAAACTCAAAAAACAGAAACATCATTATGACTAGATCCTTTCCAATGTCACTATAATCGCCTTCATCTTACAGTACATTCAGCATTGAAATGTTCCAAGGGATAAACAGTCCAGTTTAGTCATTCAGGTTTGAAAATCTCAGTGTTTTTATTGTAAGTATTGCATCTTCAACTTACACGGCTTGAATCATCATCAGAGTGCATGTTTTACAAAGGATGGCCACAGGTTCAGAACAACAGGAGGACTCCCTACGTGGGACTGCTTGTTTGGTTGGGCTATCTTGACCTCATGGACCCGTTTGCTCAAAGATAACCTCCTGAGAGACCGACACCAGAATGGAGAGTGGTTTACAAAAGACACTGCGACTTCCACTTTGCCGGGCTGGTACACTTCTGGCCAAGCTGCAAAACTGGAACTCTACACTCCTGGAGAGTTAACCCCAACCTGAACCACAGTCAGGACTGCATGTCTACACCCAACCTTAAACACAGAGGTAAAAATATAGCTTTGTGATCACCAGCTTATGAAGATATGCTATTGTTTTAAATTTGCAGCATAGCCAGAAACTACTTATTACACCTCCCAAATAACCTGGGCTGATCCTAGACCAGTCTGCACTGAAGTTAACATGTCTTTTAACTTTCAATGCAAAATTATACCTGCAGTTTATGTGACAGAGCCTTCGCGCCCAGTTATTATATCTCACACTGGATAGACTTGTCTCTTATGACAGACTCTCCAGAGGTTTGATATGTACCGAGTAGCAGGTGGGAAACTGAGATCAGTGCAGAGTAGTCACGGACCAGGTGCCTTTCCAAAGCTCAGCCTTAGTAAGAACACGGAGTGCGCACGCACACACGCGCACACACACACGCACGCACACACACACACACACACACACACACACACACACACAGTACACTCACACAGAGAGGACAGACCTGGCTTCGGTCAAATCAGTTCTTGTAATTTGTTTTATCCCATTTTGGAATACAACATCAGAATAGTTTGCCCCAAGAGACAATACAATGTGTGCCAGAGAGTTTTCTCACATTTTTGTGATAAACGACAGACCCAACACTGTCAGATTTGTCCCAATGTAGTAAAAATATTTTTGTACTCCAAGCAGGTTAAAACACAGGTGTCTGATCCAGCTCTGCATAAGGAGTGAAATTCATTTGTCAGACATGGGACCTTTTTCCTGTCAGCAGTGCAGGTTCATAAAACCAACATATGAAGAAGAAAACAGAAACAAAGAGAAGATGAAGGTTAATAACTTAAACGAGGGCAGAATAAATGTAAACTGTCCCTCAGAGAGAGAGAGAGAGAGAGAGAGAAAGAGAGAGAGAGAGCGAGAGAGAGCGAGAGAGAGAAAGAGAGAGAGAGAGCGAGAGAGAGAGAGAGAGAGGACACTGAGGTGTTCTGAGGTGGTTTTGGCATTAGTTTTTTTTTGTTTTTTTTTGTTTTATAATCAAGCACCAAAAGTGGTGACTTTCTGATTCAGTGCCAAGTCCAACAACCTCAACAGAGCTCCGCAGAGAGCTTACATGTCAAAATATACACCTTAATGATGTCCTTCAGAGAAACCAAAGGATTTGTTCTTCTTTGTTTATTTTTTTCTTTAAGTCCTCAGTCAGAGGCTTTGTAAATGTAAGACACATTTTGTCAACTAAAACACAAGTCTAATAGAGACTACAATCCTCCAAAAGGAGGAAAGTGGAGTTTTAGACCCCTTTTATTGTGTAGTAGCCGGCTCAATATTTGCCAGTAAAGTCTTGGCTATCAATAAGCCTTGTGCAGAGAAAATCCCCCTCAGCTCAGACCCAAAAACAACCGGACAGGCTTCTATCAGCAGGCTGGGCATCAAGCTTCAGCTGTTTTGTCAATCAGCCTGTCCTGTGGTTCTAGATTCAAATGCATCATCACAGGCATAGTGTAAGAGGTGGGGGGGGTGGGGGGTCAGCTCCGGACAAGGCTGGTGACTCTAAACAGGCGAGGCTCAGCACTAGGAGCAGCTTAGGGGCCAATTACATTTCAAGTGTCCATTGAATAAAACATCAGAAAAACGAAAACAAAACGGCTACATTTTCTTCTTATCCCTTCCCACCCGCCCCACCCCCCTCCAAAAAAAAAAAATCAAAAATAATAATAACAATAACCCATAAAATATACAATTCTTAAAATAAGGAATGAAGAATAAGCATCGAGAAGAGGAGTAAAATAAGACAGAACCGAAATAAGTTAACTTCTTTTTCCCCACTGCTTGTGTTCTTTGAGGGATTGAGAAATAAATATTCAAAAGGGTGGTGTTTTTTTTCTGTCACACACAAAAGGATTCATGAGAGCTGATGACAGTGGGAAAGAGAAAAAAATAATAGTAAAGAGAACTGTGGTTGAAGTGCAATCCTTAACACCAGTGGAGCTGGGATGGCGAACAGTGACATCATACAACCCGTTTTCTTCTCCCCACACTTCACACGTTTCCTCCACAGATCACCTGACCACCAGTGGAATGCCATAGCCATTCATGAACATTATAAAATAGAGAGAGAAAAAAAAGTCTAATAAATAAAAGGAGTGTCACACAAACTCAGCATTCTCCAACAGAAGTCCTACTGCGTCGCTTTTTTCAGGAAGTTGTTCTGTTGTTTTTATCATGTTGAATTGAGTAACTTTTCTTTTCTTCTCAGGGCAGCAATAGAATGGGTAACTTTCGAATGTTTCTATCAACAAAACTGAACAAAACAAAATAGTGTCCATGCCACATCCACTGCCACTCTGAAGTGGACAAAACCAAAAATTGAATTTAAAATGCACAATAAACACAAGTCAAACAGCAACAGAGGCAATAGTTCTATCCATGAGCTCTACCTTTTTTTAAAACTCCTTTTTAAAGTTTAATTTATTAAGCTATTTGTATGTACAAAAAAAAAACAAACAACAAATTTGCTTTTTTGGACGGTCACACACTTGTCTTTAGGGAGAAAAGAAAAATAAAAAGGGGAAGGAGTTCAAACTGACGAGACAAAAACAACTACAAGAGTTATTGCTTGTTACTGCTGGAAAAAGGATGGACATCTATTCCAAAGTTTGTTGTTGCCATTTGGACTTTTTCCTTGTTGCTGTTTTTTTTTTGTGTGTGTTTTCTTCTTCTTTTTTTTTTTTTTTTTACTTCTTGGTTTGTGCCGTTTCTATGGACAGCTCTAAAGTAGGCAAGTGCAGGATGGCTTGTTGTAGCTGCTTGTCGAGGGGAAAGAAACCAAAACGAAAACACACACACAAAGTTACAATTTCCACTCTTTGAAAATGCACTGAGCACCCACATTCGACAGGAATGTTTTTTTTTTTTTCCTCCATTTTTTTGTGGTTGTTTTCTTCCACGCTTGTTTGGAAACAATCACGGCAGACACGCTCTGTTTGCTTTAAAAGCTTAGTGGTGATCTGATCTGCTTCCCGATGGTTTGTTTCACAATAGCACCAATTCGAGTGTCCGAACATCTGCGGTGTTGAGCAGAGGTAATGAAAAAAACAATAAGACAAGGTTTAAATTCAGGGCTGGAGGGACGTTTATCAGGAACCAAGCTGTGTTGATATTCAAAGTTCACCCACAGTGTTCATTAAAGTCCAGATTAGATGTGCTCCCGTTTATCCAGGCCCAACACTAGAACATTAAGTTGGGATACACAGGATCAGCTCAACACACACACACGCACCTACAGGAGAGAGAACCGAACAGAAACTCTGAATTATTTCAATATTATATGAATTTAAGTGCCTTTTGGATCAAATTAGGGATTGTGAATCCTTAAAAAAAATTCAGACAATTGACGGTTCAAGGAAATAAAAAAAGTAAAATCAATTAATTTCAATTGTGGGTTTAAAAATTAAGATGATTTATAATGTTTCATATCAACCGAGTCTGTGATCTCCCTTTAAAAGAAGACAAAAACCAATTGGCAGTCTCATATCACTGTGTCAATGGGTGTTTGGGTCCCTGGTGTCAGTAAGGGGGGGTGGGGGGGACTAAAAGCAACTAAAAAGGCTAGGAGTAGGAGGGCAGCGCTTCTCAGAGCGACGGGAACGCCATTAGCTGGGGGCCTGGCCGTCGTCTAAGGTGACTGGGTGTATGTATGTAGGCATGGCTGGATGGATAAACAGATGGGAGCGCAGGTCGGTTTGGCGGGGAGGTGGTGGTGTTGGTGGTGGTGGAGATGTGGGGCTCTAGGAGGAGAAGGCAAGTTTGACACTGCAGGAGGAGTAGCCCTCGTCGCTGGCCATGCTCTGCAGGCTGCTGTGGTCGTCCAGGTCGCTGGTGCTGGCCGTGCTCACACTGTCCAGCTCTCCATGGGAGAACTCCGTGCTTTCCACGTCCACCTCGATCTCCTCTGCAGCCGAGAACGGAGATATGGAAAACAGAGAAGAAGGGAAAAAACAAACTGTGACTACTAAGAAACAGAGTCTGTGCAGTACATTTGTAGCAATGATATATGTATTAGTGTCAGGATACTTGGGCGGCTTTAAGGATAATCAATATTAAATATTTTTCTTAGTCAATGAATCCCGTGAATAGACCAAAACCAATGCCAACTAATGCTTTAGTCCGTCTCTGCGTATTTTCTGATTCCAAAGTTAACTTGCATTTTAAACCTCTATCCAGGAAATCTGCGTCCCAGAGGGACTCTGACCAGTACAACCTCGATGTTGTAAAATTAGCCAGAGAGCAGCTAGAGCGTTTTAATGGCCTTGTAGTCACCAAATTAAAGATCCCCTTTAAAGACCCGGCCTTTCTCACCTTGGTCAGAGTCGGAGCGGTCGGAGCAGAGGGTGGAGCCCACACTGTCCATGCGTATCCTCTCCCCCTCTCCTGGGCTGCTCTGGGTTGCAGCACCGCTGCCTCCCCTCAGCAGCTCCAGCTGGCGCTGGAGGTGCCTCTGCTCACGCTCCAGAGACTCCAGCTGGTACTGGCTCTTCCTGTCCACCTCTTCAAGTTTCTGACGGGGGAGAGGGAAGGCGGAGACAGCGAAAAGGTTAATTTACATGTCCCAGGGACCAGGGTGAGACTAGAATCTGTAGATAAATGTAAGCATGTCAGACGGGAGGAGCGCCAGACAAAAATGAAAAAAAAAGTAGAGACAAAAGAATAGTGGGTGGGGGCAGAGATATAAGGACATACTGAGAGCAGAAACACTAAGAGTGAGAGAAGCAGAGCTGGGAGAACATCTTCAGAAAGAATGGAGAGATACTGAATAGATATATGTTGTTTGTCTGTAAGGAAATTCCTTTCATATCAAACGGCTGTCAAGACACAAACACTCCCCAGCACCCATTCTAAAATTTAGCCACAAAACTTGTGTCCCCTCGGGTCTTTCTTCTGCCAGCCTTGAAAGCCCTAAATGATTTTCCTCACCTGCCTTGTTTACACTGTGTTGACTTCTTTACTCGCTGCCCCTGTTTACTTCTTGTGCCATTACAATGTGAGTGAGGGCCGTGGCAGGGACTGATACAGCCGTGTTGTGCTCTAACCTTGTAGCCTTATGTCACGGTCGCCGACAGTGACGAGCGTGACTCCCGGCGACGGACCAAAACAATAGGCCATCAATAAGCGTTGAAGAGACTCAAGTTGACAGCAGCAGAAGTGCAGAGTGGTGGCGATAGTAAGGGGGGAGGGGCACGACAACAATATCGGCTTTATGCTTCCCCTCTCTGTTACGTGAACGCACGCTACCCAGGACTTTTCACATGCAGACTGCTCAATCTCAGGCATTCACATGTCTGTTTTTAAAGTGGATAGGAAGGCGTGAAATAGGTTGTCTTAACGTGTTATACACTCCTCAGCACTGTGACCAGCTGAACACTGGTTGAAACTTGGCTAAACTTTGTATCCGTAATGTATTATAATTACACATCCATGACACATTTTGTCAAAACATTTGGATGGATTTATTTATGGATGCACTTGGGTTTAAATTAAGAACACATTCACCGTATCATGTAACTAAGTTTTTCTTTTTAACTTCAACTAAACAAATCACAGCCAAATCCTTCTATTACAGCGGCATAAGCAGCTGCAGATGTCATTAAATTTATTCTATTTCACTTACATGTTCATAAGGTAAAACGATTCTTACTGGTGTTGTGATGAAAACAGCTAGTCAATCAAAGCTGCATTAAAAATCCACAGTGCAGTCAGTAACCTCATGTAATTCCTCTGCAGCAACAGAAATAAACTACGTATTAACAGTGATCCCAGTGGTAGGAAGTTGAATCTGACAGCAAAGATCAGAACAAAATAAATCCAAGCAGAGATTTATTTTAATGCATTGTAGTGTATCTTGTTGCATTTGTATCAATATGTTATCGCCTTTGCTTGTCATTTTTTCTTTGCTCAGTTTAGTTGTTTAGTGTCGCCATGATTTTTTACCTTCTTTTTTTTTCTTTGGGGGGGGATGGTCACATGTATTTGACATGCCACCACTGGTCTTACTGTTTTCTTGGCTGAAATCACTGCGCTATTTGTGTCTAAAATATGTGACCAGGACCCACTGTGGCTCTAGGTATCGTTTACCTTTATGTGTGCTTTGGCTTTGTTGAGCAGGCCCAGGGTGGTGTGGCGATTGCAGTCAGGTCCCAAAGGTATGAGGGCCTTCAACCGCTCCAGACACAGCCGCAGGTGAGCTCGTCTGCAAAGGAAAAACAGAAACAGAAAGAGGAACATGATGATTAGATAAATCACTGTGGACAACAGGGAAGGGCCTGGGTAGTAAAATGTGAATTCCATTACATCATGGTTGTTCAGGCAGACCTGGGTTAGTCAGAGACTTGAGAGACTTGTCCAGCTTGTGTGGTGATTTTAACCAGTACAATCTGTTTCCAAACCAGTTTCTCTCATTTGAACTCCATTGCAGCCTTATATCAAAGGCCAGAAGGTTCTTAAAGGAATAGTTCAGGCTAGGACACAGTTGAAACCAGCTATCAGTGATAAACTCTTTTCTCTCCCCCTCACACTATTCTGTGGTTTCTCTATTATCCTGTACACATTTAACTGGCTAAACACAGACGTTGAGCTATTCATAAATTTATACCCACCTTGAGAAAAAGCTACAAATTTACAGCTGTGGGCTTGGATGATTTTTTTAACATGGTAAGAGCATCTATTTGTAGATTTTTCCTTTAAAAACATCAGCAGTTCACCAAATGTGAGCAGTAGTCTGTCAACATTGGGATGTAGGCTCATTAAGACAAACTGGTATTTCTTTCTGAGAATCCACAAGCCACAGACCCTGCTCATGTATTGTAAATCCCCAGCTTATAGTTTAACAACACAGCAGGTTACATATGATTCATGTCTCGTGTAAGCCTTGAGACGATACATTATCCTCTGCTGGTATTTCTTGCACCCAGCTTTAGTTACCCTTCTCACCTACATTACAAACAACAAGTTTCAGCTGAGTGGGGAGGGCCAGGGAGGAAAGCTGTAACGGTATTTCCTGGACCCCGCTCGGCTCATACGCTCCATCATCCTGACAGTCCCTTATTCTGTGACTGGACACAGGCCCCGTGTACTATCTATCCTGCTAATGGCCGCGAGTCGAGAGGTAAAGAGAGATAATTGTGGCTATAACACAATCAGCGCTCCATTAGCAGGACCTGCCCTTTCAGCTAGCCTGAAGGGAACGGTGGAGAGACATTAAGAGTCAGTGAACTCAATGGAGCGACCCAGGCTCAGGAACTATCTCTGTGGTAGCCCCAAGGAGACAAACCCAGGGGACCAGAGCAGGAATTCACCACACAAACTTCACGGGGCTAGACTGCTCTCTTTGCTACGCTCTGCTGCTTTAAGACTGGTGGAGACATGTGAGCGCTGGCTAGAGTATATCTGTCTGTCTGTGTATGTGGAGGGGAGGTTAAGCTATGCATGGATGGTGCTGATAAGAGCATGAGAGGAGAGCAAGCCATTACACCAGTACAGTATGCGTGAGTGTGTGCTTAAACTATGTGAACAAGACGAGTGTTGCATGTCTGGCAAGTGAAGGAGGAGGTGCCCTGATTCAGTCTGTAGTGCTAAAAGTTTGCAAGTCACAAGACACACACACACACGCACATGCACACACACACGTTTTCAGTTTAGGAGTTTGCATGATGACTATCAGTCTGGCTCAGGTCATCTGTCTGTGTAATCAGTTCTATTCATGGCAGAGAGCAGAGCCCACCTTTGCTCCTTATCTGTGAAAGGTCTTTCTGTGTTTGTCTCATCTCAACACCACACACACGTACACACACACATACACACACAAGCAGATATCAGCTAGCAATTAATCACATTGTACTCTTTCACAGCAGCCTGGGGGGAAAACACGCAGCTCCACCTGGGAGACAGTGAGGACAACATGGCTGAATATTTGTCTGAGTGATTACAATTCTGCCCGTTTTGTTCAACACTGTAATTAAGATTATTACCTGGTTACGAGGAAACAAGGCATTAAGTGTATTTTACAGCAGTTTGCCATATTTGCTGTGCAACAATTTCCACATTAAGTTGGCTATGTACAAGGAATTTTTTCAACAGTGCTGATATGCCAATAAATTATTTATTGTGCAGCTGTAGCTGAAGAGCTGACACAAATATAATTTCACATTAGATGGAAGAACAAACGCTCACTTGCTCATGAATGTCCCATTTTTACTTTTAACACTTGTACACACATAAGGACGTCCTGTTTGCTCTTACTTTTCTCTTTTGTCAAAAATACAAACATTTTTTCTCCACAGATTGGCATGGACTGCCTGATGAGGAATGCTGTGAGGGCAGTGCAGGACACATTGGTCATGTATGGGCCTGTGTGTGCGTGCGTGCGTGCGTGCGTGCGTGCCTGCCTGCCTGCCTGTCTGTCTGTCTGTCTGTCTGTCTGTCTGTCTGTCTGTCTGTCTGTCTGGCTGTCTGGCCTGCCAGGCGTCGAGTTAACAAACTCCAGACACCGGAGACCACGATCTTCTCCTCCACTCCTATCCAGATTAAAACACCCACCTCAGCAGACAACCTCAGATAACCTCCACTTTCAACCACTCCTGTTCTTCTTCCACCCTCCCTTATTCCTGACCCACTGACATGACAAATGTACAGAGGAAGCATCGGTACGCTGACCGCGCAGGGTGCACCGCAGAGTATCACCACATTTCTAGCAGTGCCTACGACCAAAATATCCCGTTATGGTTCTTAGTGCTAAGACTTCTATTAGTGAGTGCGGTGTGAGGCGTCACTTGTCGGTCTGCTGAATCACCACTTTTTGCCGAGTCAGTGTGAAACCACAAACACAATTCCACACTCATGTGATGATGATGATGAGGGGGAGGACGAGGAGAAGTAGTCTGCCACGCTGTCACCTCTCGCAGCACTTTGAGTCTTGTTTCTGTCCTTTTCACAGCTGCCTTATGTACTGTGTGTTCTCCTCTTATAGCAACACAAGCTTTTGGTTGGCAGCATTGAAACACCCTCACTGTGCCTCTTATTGATAGACAGACATGTGAGACGCCTGCATGGCATTTGCCCTAATCTCTGGGTGCATGACGTGCTCCACTGCAGAACACTGATAACTACAGAGGGCAAAGAAGCCCCAAAAAGCATTCGAGGGAGTGAGTGAGGAACAGTTTGTGCTATTGGTGCAATTCAGGGCCATCTCACTGGACTGTCCGGTGATGGAAAGCAAAACGGAAACTCTCATTCTTAGCAGGAAAGTGTTTCAAATAAATAATTCTGGGACGAAAATCCTGCTGATTGTTTACCTGGAGCCACAGGCAACTTTAGATGGTGGCGGAGACACATTTATCATGCAAGTCTGTATCACCAGCACTGCTATCCCACTAAGGGGTTACAGGTCAGAGGCTAAGAGCTACTGGTGATGACCCCAAGACAAATACCTAATCCCTGAAAAGGCTTGTTTATCATGTAGACCTACAGCCAAAGAGCTTAGTCCATTTGCAGCTTACAATATGAGTGGCAGCTTGTGACCATAAATACCTGCATGCTGCAGCCAGAATCTCTCTTTGCCTCCGCCCTCTTGGAGCCACGTAACACAGCAACCAGCAACAGAGCCTACTCTTTCCCCGAGTTCTTAGAAAAGACTGGTGCTAGTTACATAAACAGCTATGGATTTACTGTGCAGCCCCATAACTTCCATGTCCTCAGCTGCTGAGGCTAAAGACTGGTTAAGTAAACTTGGTTAAAGGATCTGACATCACAGGATAACAGGCAGAGTCAGTAGGTTGCTGTTAGCGTGGCTGATGTGGCATCCCTCTCACCAAGGGTTCGAGTGCTCTCCTAGCAGAGGCTTGTGTAAGAGCCAAAGGTTCTTCAGAAGATATGGCAATATTAGCCAAACTGTGGGTTATAAAAATGTCAAGCTGAGATATTAGCACACAGAAGTATATTTTTGTTACTTGCTCACATCACGCTGAGATATAAAGAAATTCAATGAAATAACAAACAAATGTAATTAGGGCTACGACTCATCTTCATTATCGATTAATCTCGATGAATTGATTAATCTTGATGCAGCACTCATCTCGTTTAGTCGATAAAACATCAAAAAACAGCGATAAAGGCAAATACAAAGGACAACAACCTACAGTACCCGGTGACACCATTAAATGTCTGACTGAGTGAAAGAAAAAAACTAATGGTCAAAATAGTTGGCAATTTTCTTTTTTCCGACTAATTGCTGCAGCTCTACAATCAACAAAAAGCCAAACAACAATATCAGAAAAAACTTGAATGAACAACAAGACCTACTGAGAATGACAACAGACATGGTGGAAAGCAGTTGAAAGACAAGGGATAAAGAATGATACGTAAATTAAGATTTCTCTGTGTACTGAGAGCTGTTGGTCTTCGTTTTATATTTGCAGAGTTTAATGAATGGCACGACAAGCTGTATGTTGCCTGAATGGGGAACTCTCCATCTGTGGCGGATTACATAACACGTGGCCAGTTGCTACCAGGACCTGTGCTCCAAACTGTCACGCACAGCAGGGATATCAAATCCCTCACTGACAATAAGACAACACAGGCAAAGCAGCCTCGTTTTCCTTGTATTCAGCAGAGGGAGATTCCTGGGTATAGGAGTGAACATAATAGCATTTTTCATTTTGTTTTTGTTTGTTTTGCTGCCTTCCGGGTATACCTTTGCAAACAGCTGCTTTTGAAATCCCACGCTCTCTCTGGCCGTGAGGCAGCGAGCTTCTGTGAACCTGAGCCTAAATACAGATCGATTTATAATGCAACTGGCTATTCAAAGGAAACCACATCTAAAGCTGTTGTTGCTGATCCCCCACAGGTTCATGGGAGTTACCTGGAACTCACAGAGTAAACATTTACAGCTTGTAAACATGTTTATAAAAAAGCTTTACAGGCAGCAACATTAAGTTTTCTCTCCTGAAGATGGTCAGCTTATATTCATGCATCTGCTATACAGTGAAGTCTCTAATAAATGATGGCTTGGTTCAGAAATGACCTTAAAGCATCATAATACTATTTCGAAATTCATGAGGGGGAAATTAATGCTCTTGTGAGTTAGGCATACCAAATGCTGCACTATTGCTAAACGTACAGAAATTATACCATCATGAAAAGCTAAATTTGTTTGTTTATTGCATGTCATATCCCATACCTTCCTCTTCCTGTACT